TGTTTTTTCGTCTAGGAAAGCGTCAAAACTCACGGAGTCTTACGATCGCCCTTGGATCAAGGTCCAGCTCTGACGAGCAAGTGTGCAGCCGGATTTGCCCACCTGTTTGTGTGTGTATGTGTGTTGGTCTCGTCTATTCTGGATACCAGCCTTCACCTTCGGTACATGTTTGATGCACAAGCGCTGGAGTTTTTTTTTTTGTTTTTTCCGCGGTCGGTGCTTGCAACCAATTTGTTAACGTCGGAAAAGTTCCTTCCCTCTTTGTGGCGATAACCCTCGAGGTAAATTGCGATATTCGAACCCACAACCCAGAGGCACATCCACAGACAGAGAGACGGGAGACAGAGAGACAGACAAATACAGAGGAGACAGAGACAGAGACAGAGACAGGCAGGCAGACAGGCAGACAGACAGGCAGAGACTGAGAGACAGATAGTCTGACGGTTTCAAGGTTACAAAACTGAACCACAGGGTCGACTACCCTGGAAGTAGTTTTTCTTGCGATACGTATGCATACCCTTTGTTGGGTGTGAGTTTTTATCTCCGTTTTTCTCCCCCCACTATCATCGGCGTGCTCTATTCTCGCGGACCAATAACCTCCAGCGAGAAAATGCTGCAGGCAGCGAGCGAACGCAAAGCCATGGCGACCGCGGGAACGGGCAGGGAGGAGGCACAAGCACGGCAGCGGGACGAGGAGGAGGAGGCGGAGGCGGCCTTACAGCCCAGGGCTCTCGGTGCCACCGGAGGCGAAACCGCCAGGGACGACAACACCACCACGGATGATAACACGACGGCTGATGACAACGATGAGCGGGTTGGAGGTGGACAAGTCGACCGTGCCGGGGGTCCCGCCGCTGAGGTGGCCGAAGAAGCGGACAAAGGAAGCGATGATGCCGCGGCCCTACCACCTTCTGTAGACTCTCAAGAGGTCGGAATTTGTTTTTTTTTGCATTTTTTTGCAAGGCGACTTGGTAGTATTTATTCATAAAAGTCGCCTTCCGGGGTGGTATCCGTATTGGTGCAGACAGGGTCGTCTTTCTTCTTCTTGTTTTTCTCGAAACCACCCCGATGACGTTGATATTTTTTTTGTCGCCGCACGCGGCCTTGTATCCCTCCATCCCGTGCCGTAGCGTAAATCCGTTTTTTCTTTCATCGCGCACGACTTCGCTCTCGATAGGAACGGGAATTGGTGCAGAAAACACAAGACACACTGATGTTGGCACAGGAGTAGATTCCGTAGCAGGAATGCTTCGTGGGGATGTTGCTAATCTTTTTCAAGTTCGCTGAAGCTGAAGACTTTACAATGTCGTCCAACCTCCTGCGCCCCCCCCCCCCCCCCC